TGAAAAGTTAATGAAATACCAATCTAAAATTGAAGAGATTGAAGAAGATGACATGGCCCGAGGGGAGTTAGAGGACATAATTGTTGAAACGAAATCAATAATTAAAACCATTTTAGCCAAAAATAGAACGTCAATTGCCGAAACATCTTTCGTAACGTCTCACAACTCAAGACTCCGAATTTGCCGAAATTCAAGGGCGAATATTCGGAATTTAACAATTTCATTAGTTTGTTTGAGAGTTTGGTTCATAATGATCCAACTATCCCAGATATTGAAAAATTTAACTACTGGGTTAATTACCTATCTGGAGAAGCTCTAGTAAAAGCGTTTCAAATGTCGGATGAAATTTATCCAAAGGCATTGGCAAGTCTCGAAAAGCTTTACGAAAATAAATGTTTGATATTTTTCAATACAATTTCGAAACTTTTTGAGCTGCCAACTATCCCAAAGCCTTCAGCACCTTCACTGCGTGCGATGATCGATGAAGTGTCTGCTGTTTATGACTCATTGCTATGGCTTGGCGATAAGAAACAAATAACAAACGCCATTATTATACACATAGTCATGACAAAGGTTGATTCTGGCACCCGATCCAAGTGGGAAGAACAACTTGACTACAACCAGTTACCACTATGGAAGGACCGTGAAGACACCTTGAATAGAAGATTTCAGCAGAAGGAGCGTCGTGTTCGTAGCCGCAACCAGCAGAAATCACATGAAGCAGCAACACATGGACAGGATAAAGTCAGCTTTAGTTGCTGCAAATACTAAGCAGCCAACTTGTCAACAATGTAAGTCGAAGGAGCATCATTTAACTGCCTACCCCACTTTCATGGCGCTTACGGTACAACAGAGGTTCGAGTTTGTGAAATCGGTGCTCATATGCATTAATTGTTTGCGTAAGAGACATACTGTATCAAAGTGCAGAGCAGATCGATGGCGCGTACATAATCGGCCCCATCACACGTTGTTGCACCAGTATCATGTTTCCTTCCCCGCAGCACCTCATCCGCAACCATCCACCAGATATGCTATGCATACAGCGAGTATGCCGGATCGGGTAATGTTGGCGACAGCAGTTATTCAAATGAGAACCAGTTATTGAGAATGCCTGCCTGCGAGAGCGTTGCTGGATTCAAGCTCCCAAGTCAACTTTATGACGGAGGACTTGGCTCAGAAGTTGCGGATTCGACGCCAATACAAAACGTTAAGCGTAATAAGAAATTAACCGCGTTGGTTGAGTCGCGGGTAAATAATTACGAATTTACGGCTGAATTCTGGATAATGCGGTGTATTTCGGCTAATCATCTAGATCATAACATCAATGTTAATGGCTGGAAAATTCCGCATAATAATGAATTGGCGGATCCAGAATTCCATGAATCAAAAAAAATTGATATCTTAGTGGGTGCAGAAACCTTTTTCGATCGGATAGTAGTTGGCCAAATTAAAAGTGGTTCTAATCAACCAACGCTACAGAAAACCCTTTTAGGGTGGATTGTGTTTGGCAAAAATGTCAGCCATCTAAGCCCTCCTTCTTCTGTAACTAGCACAATATGCCAAGCTGAAGAAGAGTTAACGTCAATTAATTCGGTAGTCGAAAAATTTCGGACTCTAGAAGAATTACCTTCAGAAACAAATGGCATCAAATTTACACCAGAGGAAATAGAAACATTTTTCGTTAATACCACAGAAGTATTACCTTTAGGACGGCTTCAATTCAGAATGCCCTTTAAAGCTGAACTTCGCAAAATGTATCTGGACTTTATGAATGAATACTGAGCACTGGATCACATGAGCCCCACGAACAATAAGATCCGAGTGAGCCACACTACTTCATTCCACAATGCCTTTTAAGGCCCGAGAGCACAACAAACAAATTACGTGTTGTCTTTGACGCTTCGAGTTGTACTTCATTTCACATAGCATTAAACAAACTTCCAAGAAGAATTTTACTCAACTCTTCTTCGTTTCCGCTTACATAAGTACGCTTTAACGGCAGACATTACTAAAATGTACCGTTAAATATTAATGCATAAAGAAGACAGAAAATGTCAGCTTATTGTGTGGAGACAGCATCCCTCAGAGCAAATTCAAATTTTTCGACTTAACACCGTCCCTTATGGCACTGCACCTGCACCATTTCTCGCAACACGGTGTTTATATATGATCAGCGATGCTAATACAACTAAGTATCCACTCGGTTCATTGGCCATTAAAAGAGACTTTTATGTTGATGACTTATTAACGGAATCTGAAAATTTTGAATCTGTAGATCTTATAAGAAGTGAGGTAATTAAAATATAAAACTTGGCTGGATTCACTTTAACGAAGTGATTTTCGAACCACCCTTAATTATTTGACAGTGACTGCACTGAAAAGTCCTTAAGCTTCAATGACAAAAACTCAACTTAAACAATAGGAATCCATTGGTTGCCGAAAAAGGATTTGTTTTGGATGCCAATTTTACAGATCTACAGGCCACTAAACGAAACATATTGTCAGTATCTGTTCGCCTTTTCGATCCCCTTAGATTATTAGCCCCACTAATCACCAAAGCAAAAATTCTTTTGCAGGGGCTTTGGATCCAAAAACTAGATGGACGGACAGACGGACGGACGGACGGACAGACAGTCACCCGGATTTCAACTTGTCTCTTCATCCTGATCATTTATATATACATAACCCTATATCTAACTCGATTAGTTTTAGGTGATACAAACAACCGTGAGGTGAACAAAACTATTATACTCTGTAGCAACAGGTTGCGAGAGTATAAAAACACTGCAGAAAATTCCCTAGGACCGAGATTAGAATCAGTACCACTATGAATCAGGAGAGGATATCTTTTTTTATTACATACATTTTTAAAACTATAACAATGTTTATTAGCACTACAAATAGTTTTACAAACCAAAGAGCAATTTGATTTTAGTAGCTTACAAAGATAGCAAAGAAATTTTTACTTCTTTGAATTTCTTGGTATTCCAACTACCAACTAAATTATGTGGTTTTGTTCGACATAAGCGATTAGAGAGACATCTGTCTAAGTGGAGATTTCTCGCTTCCTCATTCACATGTTCATTAAGTCTTTTACTTGTATAGTGGGCCTCTGCTTAAAATTTTATTTCTTCCTATCATCATTTCTGATGTATCAGGGAGTCTTAACAATACTTCTTAGTACCTGATTCTGGAAACGTTGAATAATATTTATGCTTTATGCTAATATATAACGCTTAGCACCTTAAATGTTGACTACTAAAACTTGAAAAGAGTTTGGTTTATTGCTAAAGACCAATGTTTTTAAATAACCCAGCCCACACCCACACCTTATCGAACGCCTGCGCAACGTCAAGGAATACCGCTAAACACACTTTTCCCTCTTCCAGGGTTCTATTTTAAATGTTATTCTATGAATTTGTTTTATTGTAGAATGACTGTTTCTGAAGCCGAACTGATGCGATGGGAATGGGATTTTCAGCGATGATATATTTTAATCTTTCAAAGAATTTTGAGATTTGCGGAAGTAGTGAAATTGGTATATATGACGAAACTATGTGAGGATCCTTTCCATGTTTAGAAACCATGGCAACTTCTGCAACTTTCCACAGATTTGGAAAATGCGTACGACGGTTTGATGAATTGAAAAGATAGGTGAGCGTTAATAAATTTTGTGCGGTAACTGCTTTAATACTTCAACTGTTATTAGATCGAATACGGATGCTTTTTTAACCTAACTTTTAAGCATTTTAATTTAATTTTTGAGCTCACAAATGGAGATTGCTGGGATTGTTGCATGATCTGGTTAAACATTACTGGGGAACGTATTTTCACTACTCTCATTTGGACGAAAAGTTTCAGCTACATGTGTTGCGAATGCATTTGCTTTATCACAATTTCGTCTTACCCATGTATTACTGCATACCGAGTAATCATATTTTTTATCAGCCGATAGTTGAAATAAGGATTTGTGTATTGACTCATTCTTAGTACGAGTAATTTTTCGCTTTAATTCAGCTGTTTATTAATTAAGGTTGGTTTTGTCAACTTATGATCGTGTTTGTTGCCATTTTCGTTGTTACTTTCTTTTCCTGGTACGGAAATTTTTTATATCTTTGGGGTAATTTGAACCCGCTTCATCTTTGGAATATTATCCCAAACAGCTTGTTGAATTTCTTTTGTAAATCTGTCAACTTCTAGCCCTAGTTGTGGGCAGTTTATGTTTGAACGGAGTTCTGTCCGCATTTTTGTTGTATAGTTTCAAATTTAGTTCTTTTTTAATGACTGTTTTACTTATTGTTAAATATATTGGGGAATGATCAGAGCTAGATCTAGCTTCTATTTCGATAAAATTTCGGGATATTTTCCTAGTAATAAAGAAGTATATTACATCAGGTATTTTGTTGGTATCGGTTGGCCAGTAAGTTGTCGTTCCGGTCGATACAAACGCACATCCTGTTTCCGGAGCCACCTGGAATAAATCTCCTCCTTTTGTTGTCGTTACGCACATTAAAGGCGCCATATATAATAAATACATATGTGGATCTGCATATTGAAAAGTTCTTTATATTCACCAACGAGAATTTTGTACTTTGTACCTCGGCAGGCAATATATTGCAGTAATTGATAAAAGTTGGTTCGTTGTTTTCAATGTAATAGTTGTGGTTTGAATATTGTGCGTACTGGTTTTTCCATCCTCATAATACTTAATATTGTTTTTAATAATTCTATTAGGTGTTTCTACAATGATAATATACTTAACTTTCTACATTTCAATCCATATAAGGTTAGATCGGTGTTTCTACAATGATAATAGACTTAACTTTCTACATTCCAATCCATATAAGGTTAGATCGTCAAAAAAACATTAGATCGCAAATAACACAATATAGTTCTTGATATGCAATCTAAAACTTATACTATTCTTATAGATTTAAATGTTTGCTACATTTTGATTAAGTGATAAATTAATAAAAGTTTATATATGTTTCAATTACTAGGCATCAACCTCGGAGCTATTGAAATGTTTGGGAATATTTTTGCATTACCGATGTAAAAAATTGAAAAATTTTGAAGCCGGAGATGCCGTCATGTGGTTAAGAGCTGTCGATAGAAGCCTATTACTTCAGGGCTGGCAAGTAAGTATAGTTTTAATAATATTCTGATAAGACGTGCCGAAACCGAAACTAATCATTATTTTAAGCCGAAACTAATCATTATTTTAAAGTGATTTTAATTAGTCCATCCAAAAAAAATAGGAAAGGTATTTAGGATATAAGAAATATATTTATTAATTTATAATACGAATATACGATTGGTTACGAGAGTTTTGCAACTGCTCACGATAATGATACTTTGATTACTTCACACAAAATCGAGTATCCTCGATTTATAGCTGAAATAACATTATAGCTAATTTTTTTGTTCAAAATTGGTTTTTTATAAAGTTAATAAGCTTATTTATAACAATTTCTATTTACAACTATTGCCGCTGCCGTTCTTTGACCAACACTGTTTTACCAATTTGCTGACTCCGTGGGACGAATTTGCAACTGTCGCCTCGACGATGGCAAAGTTGATTCGATTGCACAAAGAGCCAATAAACTCGTACTGCATTAATTGCATTTTTATCAATTCGAAAGATCGGTTCAGTTAATTGTTATTACCTATCCCCTCTCTCTCAAAACATGGTCGTCCCTAGACATGCCCATGCTTTCCAGTACTCGCCACACAGCTTCCGAAGTTTCTATCCATCCGCTATGCTTTAGTAAGAGGACTGATCCAATTGTATTCACAGAAATAATAAAAAAAAAATCACTGCCGCTACGAATGGTGTAGTTATTGAATTAAACAAGATAGCTGTCGCCGTTCAGGAAAACTATTAATGCTAACATTAACTAGTGGAACATTTACCACATAATACATACATAATTTCTCACGTTAAAATTTCTCAGCAATAATTTTTTATGCAAAAATTTCTCGTGGTTTTAACACTCATGCTAAATATATATCCCACTATAAGTTTTTATTGCAAAAAGTTACCAGGGGTGAGTGAAACCCCTGGTGGGGGTTGAGGGGTGAAGACCACCGTTTTGTGGTTTAATTATGTCTATTTATTTTTTTTATTTTCTCTACTCTATGCTTTATTCCTTCCCTATATTCTTTTCACTATTGTGAAGGTCGCTTCTATTATTTTCACCGGTTAGTTTGCAGTAATTTGATATTTCGAGGCATTGTTGATGTGTTGCAACGTTGTTTAATAATACAATAAAATGCCTCTCCATTTTAAAATTAATCAAAAAGGAAAGAAATCATTTTGCGAAAAGGGTTTTATGTGATGGTGGTGGTATGTTATTATCGTGATGGTGATAATGAAATTATTTGGCGGTGCATTTATTATACCAAGGGAACGTGCATTGGTAGGTGTTATACTACGTCTAAGTCCCGGAACGGTAAGTATTTGTTTCATTATAGATAATATTACATTATATTATTTGTCTAATATGATGATACATTTTTATGATGTTTTAAGATTGTTTATACAATAATTTTACTACGAAGCCTGCTAAAATCGAAGCTGTAAAATTGCGTGCGAAAATTCGTCGAAAGGCTAAAGTAACGAGAAATCCATCAAACAGCATCGTTGCAGCTGCAGTTAGCACCGCCTCAACGTATACTGTCGGTGTACTTGGTAATCGTTCGAGCCTATGTCGTACTGTGTTTCGTATAAGAGCTGATACTGCTAATACTGTATCAATTAATGAATTAATAATTCCCGATGGGTATCGTAAGGCGTGGAGCGGAGTTGAATACTGGGTATGTGATTCACCAGAGCTGTCTAATAATCGCCGTGGAAGATATATTATTTTTACAACTGAGCGTAATTTGAGTTATCTTCAAGCATCAGATACTTGGTTTGCCGACGGAACATTTCATGTCGTTCCTTCGATTTTCTACCAGCTGTATAGCGTACATAGAGAAGTTATGTCTCTCATATTTACATTGTCGTCTGAAAAATCGAAGCAACTATACCGTAGTATGCTGTCGTAATTGAAAGCTATCAAACCTGAATTGAACCCTAAAATTATTACGACGGATTCCAAGTTGGCTTTCATAAAGGCTGCCCAGGATATTTATGTTGGTGTACAAATGCGTGGGTGTTTTTTTTCATTTTGGGCAGAGTCTATGAAGGAGAATACAGGGATGTGGATTACAAGCTCGATTTGCCGGAGATGGTAACTTTGGATTCACTGGTCCTATGGGATAATTACGGGTGTGTAAATAGACGTGTGTGAATAGTCTTGATAAATATCTCTCATATACTATGTTCGCACCGAATTAAAATCCTCTTGAAAACATAATTTGTGGATTGTGGAACCAAAGTCGTTCTGACCGACATTGTGTGTTTTCGATGAGTTTTCATTGACAGTTCACACATCTATTTGTTTACATTTGTTATGTACCCTACAAGAACAGTGACGGTCATCTGATGGGTAATATGACAGTCATAGCTGAAAAAACTTTGTCAGCGCGCAGAACAAAGTTTTCATATTCTTAAGAGCCTTTCCTTCTTTTTGTTTGTTTGTTTTGTTTTTTCTGAGTCATTGCTGACCATAAATCCGTCATAACTGAAAATTGTCAGTTATGACTGAAACGCTATCAGAAGTGAAAAATTCTTTTGCGCACTAGATAATATAATTTTTATTTCTTTAATAAAATTCAAACTTTTAATCAAAATAAGTTATAATAATATACTTAAATATAAAAAGGAATTCAACAAAAAATATAATAAAATATGAAAATATAAAAATAAATTTTCACTTGATGCCATCTCCTCCTCTCAATAGCTCTGCGAACGTCTTTCTCCAATCAGTGGATAGTTCTGAATTTAAAAATGCAAAAACAAATTAACAGTACTGACATATCAAATGTGAGTGTATTGGTGAACCCATCAGCAGTTTCTTGTAGAGTACGTTTAGGCCAACTATGGAATGTAAAAAAATTGTCAACTGACATTTAGGGCTGTTAAAATATGTCTTCTAATAATATCGACGATTAAACTAGAGCAAGCACCGATTATAATGAATGTAAGTTTTCAAGGGGTTTTCAGCGAAAACTGTGTTTTCGTTTGACAGATTTTGTATGGATGAAAACACAAGTTTTCGCGTGAAAACCTCTTTTGTCTATGAAAACACGAATTTTGTGTCGGTGCGCACATAGTAATAGGAAATTTTTGACCTTTACAGAGGTGGGCTGCAACCTGTTTGTACGCTATTCTAGCTTATTTTCGAAATTTTACTTTGCGATTGCAGTGCGGCGCTGATGGCCACATTGAAAATACCCTCCAGCTTTCATTCATTCATGTTTGGTTCATGTTTGGCTCTGACAAATAATATAATCTCTTGGTAAATATTTCAAAATGAAAAGGAATGCCGTTTTGCGTAACAGCGAACTATTGCGTCCAAGAACATAAAGCCTGCCACCGAGCACGAGCGGTATGGTCCTTTCGTCTTTCCTCGTCGTCCCTTTGTATACAATATACAGGTTTGGACGACAAAAGAGTCCGTGTGTGAACGGCGCCTTACTAGCCAGGAGCTGGTTTTTAAGTCGGCGTAACAAGTCAGCTACAGTCAAGATTAGAGCATAGGCCAGTGATCTGCAGCCCGTTGCCCGCGGGAACTCTCTTATTATATCATAGAAACCAGACTCTCATGTCATTGGAGAGATTTGTTGCCGCTGTTCAAGATCACTAACAAAAACTGTTAAACAATTAAAATTAAAAAAACGCGAATTTGAAATGTATGTGATAAAACCTTGTGTGGTGTCATGCCTCGAAGTAGTAATTTTCAATTGAAAATGATAAAAAACATTTATTAATGTAGAGCCAATAAGTTTAATGCACTTTATTAGGTAATGAAAGCTCAAAAATCAATTGTTTTAATATTTCACAAAATCACCAAAAAGGATTTAAATAGTTTCTCCATATGGTAAACGGATATATGAATATACCTATTATAATTTTTATGACCGTTTTCTCAATGTCTAGTTAGCAACCAGCTGTCGTTATCGCGAATTCATTTCAGAATTTTTTGGAAGTCAAACCCAATATTATCCATCGCTACCCACCATATTAATTTTTGATTCATCGGACCAAGGAATCTTACGCCATTTTTCTACATTTTCTTTACCGGTCGTATTGATATGTCCTGAAACAGAAGCAATCTGATTGTTCCGCTGTCTTTTTGTCAACATTGTAACTTTTCGGCACAACAAGAAATTCCAATTCTCTTTGGATAGCTACAGAGGACTTGAAAGGATCGCGTTTTGATAAAATCTCTTTGTAATTGTCATCGTATACGTTGTTTTTCGTGGTCGTCGACTTAATGCGAATTTTTTTAGAAGCAGTTAACACACATTTTTGGAATCCTTTTAAAGTTTTTGAAATTTCTTGTTTACCTATCCATTATTGTGCAAATTTTTTGTAAGCTTAAGGTCTGTCGCTGTGCAATGCTTTCCTTGACCCATTTCTTCAACAAATTTTACTATATAATGTATATAATTGTAACAAAATGTGAAGTTTTAACAAAAATCCTACAGATTATGTATCTATGGTACTTACAATACATTTTTTACTAAATATCGCCTATAATTTATATTTTGAATCTTTGATTCTAATTTTTTGTCACGGCAACAAATTAACACTTTTGTTTAATTTGAACATAAAGACAGTAAAATGTAACAGACCTACCATCATGGTGTTTTAAAAGGAATAGATTGCAGGCAAAACGTATCCGAAATTTATCGGTCAAATATTATTGTAACGGATTTCTCGATAAATTGTCTACCTTGCAACTCACACTTGAGTTTGATCACTGGATTGTTAACTAAAAGTCCCAATTTAATGGCTATACACTTATCTTTATTTCTTATTCCAACAACTTATCACTTATTACTCGTTATTCGAGTTTACAACTTATTGCCTATAGCTCAACTGCTCCTTACACGGCAACACTCTGACTAGATCTGATCTAGATCTTTAACAAAAGTTCGCTATTAGAACATTCTGGCAACTACGAATTCGCCAGAAACCCAGTTCCTGGTACATCCCTTGACTTAAAGCTGACTCGAGATTCCATTC